TCCTTGCCAATAAAGCTACCGTCCCACTCACACTAAGATGGAACCCAAAAAGAATCCCAGAAACACTGCACTTCCTTCTAAACGCGGCCTAAGTAGGGTTCCATGCTTGTTTGGGGAAAGGTGCCGTAGAAGCCAGAAGAATTACCGATATCATCCCCAGTGTAGTCTTCGCAAAGATATTATATAATGCACCCCCAAAATCATTTTCTAATGACTTACCCTAAGCCTCAAACCCTAAGCCCTAAACTATGTGGCTACATTTTAGTCAGCTTGTAAGATCGAATGGGCAGGCGAGAGCGAACACCAAGGCGCACGCACCTCCGGGCCAAGGGTCAACATTTTCCTGGTGCTTAGTACGGAATGAAAAAGGAAATGGAAATAACTGTGCTATTTTGGGTTTAGGGCTTAGCGCTCCGGATTTTGTTTGGCGTTTAGGGTTTTGGATTTCGGGTTTGGGGCTTGGGGTGGGAGAATGAGGGAACATTACTTACTGGGGCATCAAAGAGATAGTTTACGGTGCCGTATTGTAATGAGGACCCAAAACCGAACCCTAAATGTTAAACCCCAGCCAAAAAAACCTTCCACCCAAAACCCCATAACTTTGACAACATACTCTTCCCTGCGAAGTAGAGTGTCTGGGTCATTGTGGGACATATTCTTGAGTGAGTATTCTGATAAAGTCCACGACAGAATGTACAGTTGTGGTATCTAAATACTAGCCCAACTGAGAAGCAGTAGCAGCATTGTGGGCATGATTCCTTGTTAAGCAAAAGGGGTAAGCCATACAGGGATTGCATAGGAGATCCTTGTCTTAAGCAGTGAGGGATTTGTTCGGATGTAATTGAAATAATGCATTCTTATTGTAATTGCCAGGTGGCCATTGTAAGGATGCCGGACTGGACCCCATAATTAGGAACAAATTTGACACATGGGGATTCCCGAAAATTAGGTGAATTTTTGCGGGTTTCCTATGATGAGCATTATAGTTCATTGGGCTCTATATGGTGTATGGTTGCCTTTATTTAGGGAAACTACCAAATCTTGCAAGGGACAAGCTCCTGGTATTCGCTGTCGTTGTGGGGATTGCAGGGCCGCTGAGGATACGTGTAAGTGTGAAAGCAAGAGCCAGTTAGTGAAGGGTCAGTAGTCATAGCCATCTACATGGAGCCTAAACCCTAGACCTGCAGAGCCAGACCCTAAACTGCAAAATTGCCAGCTTTGTCTCTAGACACCTGATGGCCTGAACCATAAAAGAAATACGGCCTGCAAAGCCCCTGTAGCTGTGGCTTCCCCCCCAAACGTAAAGCCTGGGCCTAGACTCTACACACCAAGCTGTCTTGCTGTGTCCCGGCAGAAACAGCTTCAAATGCCGCGGCCACCGCCAGATGCCCAGTGAGTCGGGTTCGACTTTCTTGCTCTTCCTCTCGGGACTACAGGGATCATGTATGAGCTACTGTAAATAATAGGCTTATTAAGGAAAACTTAACAGTGGACACAGGGGTCCTCCTTGTAGTTCAGTATAGTCCTGAATATAGTCCCTAATAAGGCACCCATGTCCATGTAAGAAATGTTGGCTGTGTCTCATACAGAAATGCACTATAAAGGTTTTCAAGCACAAATTTTTGAGGCGTGAGAAGGACAATGGCGCACTTAGAACTAGCTTAAACCAAGTGGTTGCAGCAAAGCCGTTGGGGGGCACTCATTTCATCTTGTATTCTCTCTTCCATTTCGTTCCCCATTACTGATAATTTCTCAGGCTCGTACATTACCTTATCTGAAGGGTGCGGAGGGTGCTATAAACACCTCAACCTCTGAACTGAAAGTACCGAAGCCCCTAATTCCTCAACCCTCAGCCTCAACCCTGTCCAACTCAAAACCGCCCTAAACTGGCTTGCTGTTAAGGAACTTAAATCACGTCACCATGATGGGTATATCTGTATATACAGAGTAATTTAATATGGTTTCCCCGATACAGTAGCTTAGCTTAAGTTCCTTTATAAGAACCCAGTAAACCCCTCTACCTTGGGTCATTCCCGCTCACAGTAGCTGCCCTGAAAGTGAAATCTCCTATGATCTTTTGTCGCAGCTGTTCCTGTAAGAGGGAACAAACAGATCCCAATCCTAAACCCTAGTCCCTAAACTGCCTGAAACCTAATCCCTAAACTGCCTAAACCCTAAAGCCTAAACACCCTAAACCCTAAAAGTCCGAGGGGTTGAAAACAAACACCAAACACCCCACGGCCAGGAGGTGACGTTTACCTCGGCCACCAGCCAAGCAGGCCATGGGTTGGGGCATCCAGTGCCTCACTTTTCAGGCCGGCAAGGTTTAGGGTTTAGGGGTTTAGGGGTTTAGGGCTTGAGTGTGTAGGGGTTTAGGTTTTAGGAGGAGATCTTTGACCACTTCAGGTCCCTAAACTACTGCAACTCACAGGATCCAGGGGGCCTAGAGCGCTGCAAGACATTAGATTTCCTCCATCCACAGTAGGAGGGTTCATGTTTGTGGGTCACTCTGTAACAGCAGGATCATATTCATAATATGATTGTATAACACCTTAGTACAGACTCTTATTGGGTTGGGGCAGTACTGACGTCATATCGGGTTTAGGATTTAGGGATCAAGGTTTAGGTTAGGGATTTAGGCTTTAGGGCTGAAACGGATCCGGGTTAGGCACTGGAATAGGCGGTAGTTGTCCGGAGGGAGAGAGCGGCTTTTCTTGGGGAGGGGACATTATGGATGACGAGACATTATGGATGACAGCAAACTGAATAGTGGTTATGGAAGGTGGGGTTTTCACCTGAGGTCGGAAGACAAAGCTTAAACCAATACGGTTGGCCTTGAAGACTGAACCTAAACCGCGAACCCATTCACTCTCTTCGATCCGACCTGCATTTTGCAGAGGTGTCTTGGATGAGGAAGCTCAGGGTTTTTGTTTTTTTTTTTAAGGGCTCACTGAGTAAGCTGTGCCATGATTCTTCATGACCGTCCCTGCGGCAGGTTGATCATGAACGCGTCGCCGTTCCGTGAAAAAAACAGCCATCATAACTTAGATTAAGATGCCCCCTTCCCAACAGCAAAGAGTGCTGTCTTTCAAAGCATTTTGGGTCGTCATTAAGAAGCTTCTAGACTGATTTCTATGAAGATACTGCATAGTGAATCCTTGCAAGCTATCTCGCGCGATTCTTTCTAGAGCCTCGTAGAATCAATATGGGAAGAAGGGATAAGCATATCAAGTCATGTAAGACGTATGACAATGCCTCGAAGGTTCAATTCACGGAGGTTCATGCGAAGTTCGACAAAGCAAGTACTTTACCCCCATCAACTTATGAGCCAACAATATGGTAGTCTATCGTAGTCTCAATTTTCTTTGAATTCTTCCCCATATGTTACCTCATATGGCCCTCAACAAGTATAACCGTAAACCCAGTTGCCACACTGAGCCTCTATAGGTAGGGAACGATAAATAATGCTGTTCGGCCGCGTTTGGTACCGGCCGCAGCTTTCCGTCGAAGTGAAAATGCGAAGGTTTCACCATAGACATTTTGTGTGGAAGTTTCTGAAAGTCAACGATTCCTTTTGCAGATCTTCATATGGTAAGCTGTCAAAAGTATGTTCCTTTTTGGGTGCCAAGTACAATAACACCACCAATATTTAAGGTCAAAGTCACCATATTTTTGGCTCCCCGCCTCCCCCCCCAAAACAGTGTCCTCATAGGGTAGATATGCAGGGACCTGCGCTTTTGGGGGAACTTCTATCTGATGTGTGTCGTAATTCGAGCATGCATCGGCCCCTGCTGATGACGATAACGAACTCACGCCCGAGCCGGGCGAGATGAGCCGGGTTTAGGTTTAGGGATTGGGGATTTATGTTAGGAGGACCCCCTACCCTGTAATAGTGGTATAGTAGGAATGTAAGAGGACCCTAATATAATCCCTATTATCCCCTATAGCCACTATTACTGGGTGGGGGGTCCACCTAAGATTTATGTTTCAAGGTTTGTTGGGTGGCGCTCGTGCATGGAGGCTTATTTCCATCACATGGCAGGTTTTCCGAAGCAATGTGCCCCTTGCCAACCCAAAATATTTCGCCCACCCTGAACTTCAAACCCCAAGACGCTGCAAGTGTGGCAGTGATACCCTATAGATCTAAGCCCCTAGACTCGGAGCTGTCGTTCACATTCTCGGAAACCTGCCACATTGCAGCTGGCAGCTGCTGAGGATTGCTTCAAGGAAAAGGACCCTGCCATAGTTTTCTCCCCAAAGAATGCATGGCTACCAGTAGGATGATTGTGTGGATGGATAAACGTGTGCATTACCCACCATAGGGAAGGCAAGGTTTTGAGTGGGTGCAGCGTGCGACTTTCATACATGAAAAAGTGCATCACGACTTGATGTTCATAGTATCTCTGTTATGTCCGATATTGCTGTCACTGTTTTATGTTCGTGCCTTTTTTCTGTTTTTTTCTTCTTAACTGTGCTGCTGTAGCTACCCACAGGGTTGCTCCTCTGCGAGTAGGCATGGGACTGGAGTTTGTACCTGCGTTGGCGTAGAATGCTGTTCCGCTGGCAGCTTTGTTCACAGGAGAGGGTGATGAAGTTTTTCAGGGTATACCGTCTTTGCACAGGTTTTGTTGCAGCATGTGTCGGTTTGACTCGTTTGAGAGCACGCTATGCCATGCACAAATCGTGACACGTAAGCGAATGCTTACCGTTCTTGTTTGGCTTAGCTTGAACTTGAGACTTAAGATGTCGAGGAGACCGTAGTGCTGAAGAGAAGCCCGGCAGAATTCCAATCCGACGAGCTGTCACAAGTTTTTTCGAGCCCTGCTATGTTCTGCCTCATGCCACATCACAATGTGTGCCCTGAGGTGTTGGTTATTTGCACTAGACATGTTTTGGGTTGGTGCGGGATGCTGGAGGGTTGCAAAAAAAATGTTCTGGGTTGGTGCTGCAATATAACAGCTCGGGCTCCCGGACAGATGTAGGGGTGCTCACTAGACGCAATGCCGAACGTCAAAGTACGTACGCCGACCGCAGATCCAGCAAGCCCGAAACTGATCATCAGAAATACATCAGCTCCAGAGGGAAAGTTGCGCCAGGCCAGGTTTGGTTCTCCGGATTACAAAGTCATCCGCTTTGCGGTCATCTCTCGTGCGGTGGTCATCTGTTTATCTATCCTGTCTGACTGGGCGATCCCCGACCATGAGCCTGATCCTTCCGTAGCAAGATCCTGGGTTGCTGTTAAGGAACTTAAATTAAGTTACCACAATGGGTATATATAGTAAATAATAGGGTTTCCCCAATATAGTAACTTAATTTAAGTTCCTTAAGCCCCTATTTCCCCCAGTTTCCATTTCATTTTCCATTTTCTTTTCCATTTGATTCTCCATTATAGGGGGATAATATAGCTTAATTTAAGTTCCTTAACAGCAACCCAGGATCGCCTGGAGTCTCTCCATGGCTTCGGGCCTTCACGCGTTGGGATGCCGCACGTTTCGTGAAGATTGCGCAGCAAGGCTACTTGCTCGAGGAGGACTACGCGTTCATGCCAGTATTGCCCTTGGCCATATCTGGGAGCGTGCGGCTTGCGAGCATGGTTCTTCCCGAGATAGGTCCAGTGCATTTCGTGGCTATAGGAATGATGATTACAAACAGCTGCTTCGTTCTAGCTGCGTGGCTGCTGTACCGGCTGGGCCTGTTAGTGCTGCAGGACCAGCTACTTGCGTTTCGCTCTGCAATTGTTTTCTGCCTGTCCCCTGCCGGTGTCTTCTACAGCACTGTGTACACAGAGAGCCCCTTTGCAGCCTGTTCCTTCGGAGGGCTCTTTCTGCTGGAGCTCAACCGGCCCCTGCTTGCAGCGGTATTCTTTGGGCTTGGAACCGGTCTTCGTTCGAACGGCATGCTGAATGCGGGTTTCCTGGTCTATCACTGTGCGTGTACAATGCTTCGGGATCTGCAAGGAGGGACCGAACCACTTCAAGTGCTTATTACGGGTGCAAAGAGGCTCGGCATGCTGGTGCTGGGCGTCGCAATTAGCGTTGGGCCTTTTTTGGCTTTTCAAGTCTATGCCATCCAGAAAGAGTGTTACGTGAAGGATGCTTGTGCTGAAGCTGAGCAGTGTAGCATTTCTGAGCAACCTCCACCATGGTGTCAAGGATCTATACCGAGTGTATACATGCACGTTCAGAAGAAGTACTGGCAAGGAGGCTTCCTATGTTACTGGCAGCTGAAGCAGTTACCGAACTTTGCGCTGGCAGCACCTGCCTTATCCCTTACGGCGCTTGGCGTTCGGCATATTTTGCTCGACTTTTTTGGGCAATTACAGCATTGGGCACAGGTTAGGAGTGAAGATACGCCAGCGCTTAGAGCTGCCACTGGCATTTGCAGAGCCGTTCTTCTATGCCCACTGCTACCTCATGCGCTCCACTGGGGTCTCCTGGCAACATACCTACTGCTATGCGCAAACGTACAGATAGTTACGCGCGTGCTGGGATCTGGGTGTCCTGTCTTCCACTGGTTTGTGGCCTCCCTGTTGTTTTCACGTAGATTGCACAAGACTTCATGGCTGCTGAAATGCTACCTGGGCGTGTTTAATTTCGTGGGCATCATCCTGCATCCGAACTTCCTGCCCTGGACATGAAGTAGCAGACGCACAACAGGGTTTTGAAGACTTCGTGTGCTTTGAAAAAGGCGCGTGGTGGAGCATGTGATCTGTCTGTCTGTTAAAATTGTCCCTTCGCCTTTTGCGTTAGCATTCTTTTTCCTGACGCGCTTAGCCAGCTTAGCTTGTTGTGTTCTTTTAGGCGTGTGATCCCTGCTGTCCTCACATTACATTATCTTTGTGGACACCGTCGTGCTTGCTACTGCGGCATTATCATTGGGCAGGACTCCGATCGTAGAATTGAAGGAAAATGAGAAATCATACGCAAGAGTCATTCTGGCATCGAGACCGTTTCAGAATTTCACCCATGGAAAGATAAGCTGCAGCTCTAGTAGCTACTTGCTCTTTGATTTTGGCTGTGCATCATCAATCTAAGAATCGATAATTGTGATTCTTTGTTTGTATTATTTGGTCTTCGATAACCACTGCTCTAAGAGTTGGTTTTTGCTGTTTCCACGCTCACTTAAGTGCCTCCTTACCATTGGGCTTGGGCTATGCATAGCCAACCTGATTCTCCTACTATTATCATCATTCTTCCTAGTACTAGTACTGCACAACCACCACCACCATCACCACCATCACCACCATCACCACAATGCCTCCTCCTCCTCCTCCTCCTACTGTCACTACCATTGTGCATTGCTATGAGTATTCTCACTGATCCTTATCATTACCGTTGTTTCATGTAATTTGTTCTTCTCCCTCCGCACGCTTCCAATAGACAGATGCGAACAAAGGAACCAAGGTACCTACTTTAACGTGTGGGTTCTGGCTACGCAAAATCAACACGCTAGCATTTCCAGTGTTATCATTGCTGTTCGTTTTTATCCAGTCATCCCGCGCCTTTTTGAAAGAATTCACAGATGGGAAGAAAGGGAGTAGCAAGCCACGGCCTCTGACGGGGCGAGCCTCACAAAATGGCGGACTCACCGGGAGGCTCGGAAGCTTACATTTAAGGCGTGGCGTTTACCGCTTTAGAGCTTAGGGGTCAAGGTTCAGGGGTTCTAGATTTTTTGAGATGACGGTTATGTATGCATGTATAAAAAAATATAGAGGGGTGGGTTATACTGCACGAGAGTTCTCGGTCTTATAGGGGTCGTCACAGTTTGCTGCATGAATTCTAGCCTCTTAAGGTATAGAACGTAGAAGTTTTCGAGAGGTTTAGGGTTGGGTTTTTGATGAGAAGATATTGTGCAAGGAGCCCTGCAGGTGGGCTGTTGTCAGCTGGGTATCCTTTCATGGAGGCTCAAATAGACGTTAAATGGGCTCATTACCCCTATACGAGCCTTATATGAGCTAAAGCCGAAACTCCTTAAATGGGGGCTTTTATCTGGGATTATATAGGCAAGTATTATAGGGGCTATCTAGGCATGTATCTGGGTACGGAGCTAACTACCCACCTGGGGTGTCCTAGACTGGTCATTACTGTGGAATTCAGGTTCCTAGTCGTACTTCCATGTGGTCCTTGAATAATTCCTAAAAAGCAAGCACATATGATCTATACATATATAACGAAGTATATCCGTATAATCAGTGATTATACGTGTGCATATATACACATATATGTGTTACAGGCTATAGGTTATACATGTCTAATTATAACATAGCTCATACAAGAATTCTGTAGGGGCTTACGGAGGTGCTTGGAGGGGGGCTCATAGGAAGTACATGGGGAGCATGTTAGGACCCTGTCGGGATGAGATAGGCTTTAGGGTTCAGGATTTAGGGTCTAGGGGTTCAGGGGTTTAGGGTTGAGGGTTTAAGGTTTAGGGGCGCAGCTCTGCACAATCAGGATGTGGTTGTGTCGCGGTACGACAAGGGGATCCTAAACCCTAAGCCTGAAGCCCAAAAACCCTAAACCCCTAAAACCCTAAACCCCTAAATCCAGAACACAGGTAGCCGCAGACTCCCTCAGTGGTTTTGCAGGTGGGGAAGATCCTCTGCCGGTGCCTCCGATGACGCCGCCAGTGGCATGTCTGAAGCAGCTTAGGGTTTAGTGTTCGGGCATGAGGGTGTAGGGGTTTATAGGTGTACAGTTTAGGGTTCAGGGCCTGGGTCTTGTAGGAGGACCCCGAAGTTTGCTTTGAAAGGTCATCGAAGATCCATTCCTGGAATTAACAGACATTGCAATCCCCCACTATAGTCCTTTATAAGCTAAGGTTCTAACAACGCGCCCAGTATGAAGGGCCCATACTAAACAATGGAACATGAAACGCGAACCAGTGTTATATAGGGTTCTACAGGGTCATATTCCCCTAGTATTCAGATTTATGGCCCTTGAACAGTAGAAGTAACGATGGGACTACATTTTTGTTAGTCTAAGGATCCAAGTGCAAAAACAGAAGCAGCCTGAACAATTACCTACGTTGCTCCCTGATAGCCCTGACATGATTACAGTACATTGGACCCCCTAATAACCTAAACCCTATATAGACCAAAAGCCCTAAATGGACCCCAAACCCAACCTTTTTCATTGGGAGGACAGGCGCCCGAACTCCGTTTGGAAGCAGGAGACGTTCCAGTTCGAGTGCATCCCAATTATTCACCCTAGGCCCTAAACCCTAACCCCTGAAGCCTGAACACTCCCAAGTAGACACTTCCTGCGTGGCTGGACCCTGTGAGTTTGGCACCGCCTTTTCTGGGTCATCATTGCTCAAATTCTGAAGTTTTACTAGACTAATAAACCTGAAGCAAAGAGTTCAAATATTTCGTAATGGTATCCCGAGAAAGGCAAGTTTTTTTCTTGGTGAGTCCAGAGCTATAGCTGTATTTTTACTGCACCTCAAGAGGGAACGCTCAAGTTATAGCCAGGCTACGGCCTAAATGCCCTTATAGCTCCAACTATAGACAGCACTAGCATTTCGTAATGCACCCACCCCAAACCCTAAACCTTAAAACCTAAACCCTACATCCCGTATATACCTATACACATACTTCTGGATAAGGATCCACTTGTTCTCACAGTGACAGAGCGGATGTCTCTGCCCGTGCAAAGGCGGCGAAGGCCGAAGCCGTGTCTCCTGTGGAGGACCCGGTTTAGGGGTGTAGGGGTTAGGGTTTGGGGTCTGGGGTTTAGGGTTTAGGTTTAGAGTTTAGAGTTCAGGAATTCAGGGCTTAGGGTTCAGGGTTTAGGGGTATCCTTGATGTCGGGATTGGAGTTTCTTCAGGGCTTAAGGCTTAGGGTTAAGAGTTAAGCCCTTAGGGTTTAGAGTTTTCCGGGTTTGCAGAATGTGTTCCCTGATTACAATATTTTGGGGGTATGTAACTGTAGCGTGACCCCTATTTTTGGAAATGCTCAGGTGTGGTATACCATTTAGCCGTGGCTTTGGGTGCATAGTGAGTTCCTGCGGAACATTGGCGAGGGTATGTCTCTCCCTATGCTCGTATCCTCCATTCGGTCACAGTACTTTAGGCAAGCATCTTCAGAAGGGATATTCTAGATCATATACATATACGCGTGTGTGTAATGGCACTGCGTCAGGATGATTTTGTGGGATGAAACCAAGGTTCGCAGCGGGGCTTGTTGGTTTTTGCCAGCGTCACGAGGGCGGGGTTGTAATTGGGGGTCAGGGGGATCTAGTAAGTATACTTTTAATAAGCTATATAGGAACCCCAGCTATCCCCATTTTTCATCTACATACCAAGCCCCCCTGAACCTCCAAGTATAAGGGGTGGTGATAGGGGTACCCAGGATCCTGTTGAGCATCCTAATTACACTTTTCGGGGAGCGGCATTGTTCATAGCACATACTCGTATTGTACATAGGGGCCAAAATAACTACTGATATTACGGTCGTAGATTCCTTGTACAATTTTGTAGTGTAATTCAAATGGACCTCAAAAAGATGTCGGCGATTATAAGGTCCTACGTGTCCCAGACACTCCTCATGCAGGCCCTCTTACCAGGACAAGGTCGGATTCCATGTTGGTCTGGAGTAGGGCAATTGGGACAGCATAGAACAAACGACGGCCCCAGGAGTACAGACGACTGGAGCCATTGATTCAGCAGCCATTGAAGGCTCGCCCTGCGTGCAAGAAATAGTCTGGTATGAGCTGCAGCCATTTTTGTGGTTGTTCCTGCCTGTTTACAATGCTATTGCTGCCTTGCAGAATGGCAACGTTATGTTTTTTGAAAATCACGATAAGCAGGATCCCGGAGTTTTTTTCTTCCTAGCTGCGCTCGCGTCTGTCACGAGTCATGTTGCTGTAGCTATTTGCCGGAGCGAAACTTTGAAGGAAGGCTCGTCCTACTTCCTGGTCAACCGGCGATGGTGCTCCACTTTGCTTGCTTGAGTTCAGGGTGTGTTTTTCCGGGCCTAGTTTAGGGCTCTTGCTTCACTAGGCCTAGCTTAGGACTTGGATTTGCGAGGAATGTGTATGACCCAGGAGCTGGTAGTAGCCACTATACTACCACCCCCAGCCCTTCCTTGTCCCTTAGTTAGCCTAAACCTAGATAGCTTGATTCAGGTGGAATCTAGCAGTGGCAGCGTCGACGGGGTTGTAGGGGAAGCCATCATAAACCCTCAGCCCTGAAAGCAAAAACCTTAAGAAACCCTCCATGTCCCCTGGTGTCCGGTGCTTTTGTGCCCAACCAGAGTGGCATGCAGCCGCAAGGTACACCGAGTGGCTTCAGTGGGTAGGCTCGGCCTAGCACCTCCAGCGTCAGAGGTTAAGGGTTTAGCGCGTAGTAAAATCTTAGGATTAAAGAAATCCTTGCCGCATGTACATGCAGAACAGACATAATGCTCTATATCTCAATAGTGTAGAGTGTAGACCCCTGAAAATGAAGTCTTTGTTCTTCATCTAGGGCAAGTTGACTAGTCAGGTGTTTGCATTTCTCTTGATCGACAGTGTTCTTCCCTTCAGTTTGAGCAGTCCTTGTTGAAGTATAGTACATCATGCACAAGTAGCCTCCTCACTCCTCGGATTGATTATTCAGACCCCAAAGAACCCAAGCAAAGACCCCAACCCAAACCACATCCTACCTGCAAGCACCCTTTGCATAAACTTCCTTTCATCAGGCCACCCGAGCGTGCAAAGCCCGCAGCTGCGGCCGGCAGATCCCCCCCTTATAGCTGATGGCCGGGAGCTCTGGGGTTTGAGGGCCCTGGGGGGATTTAGGTTTTTTTGGAGTATTCAGAATTACGGATGTAGGGTCCTATGTTTTGTGGGGACAGGTTGGGTTTAGGGGCTTAGGATGCTTAGGGATTGGGAGGAAGTCAAGCTAAAGTGATCCATAGCTGATTGCATGGGGCTCTGTGAGCGGAGTGGCCCAGCACTGTGGTCTCTGTACGCCACTCGAAAACATGTTTGTAGCACAAAGTGAGGCACAAGTCTCGCATAGTACTGGTGGCACTTGTCGCATCTTGGCAGACAGGGCGACCATGATTGCAACTTAAGAGCCTCCGGCTCAGTCCGCCGACCCAGTGGCGGAGAAAGCACGAAAGCCTAAACGCGAAACCTTGAGGGTTTTCAGCGGCTGGCACGAG